TCCATCCATCCATCCAGGACTGGTTCCTGGCTCCTGCCAGGCCACGTTCAGCCCTCGGGAGCCGTCTCCTCCTTGGGAAGAGGATGAAATTCCCGGGATGCGGGGCCCTGGCCCAGACCTGCTTCGCACTCGGTGTCCTCCAGGCAGAAGCTGGCCTTGTGTCCCTCGGCCACCTTGGTGCCGTTGAGGTTCAGGAGGTCGTAGTGGGTGAACACCTCCATGCTGTGGTAGTGCCTGTGGGGAAAACAGGGACAATTATCCCGAGGGATAATTAATTTACACCTATAATTGATTTTACTTCAATTGCCAGGGCTGAAGGGCCAAGGGGAGATGCAGGAGTGGGACAACTCTGGCCAGGAAATATTCCCTGGGGACAATCCTGTGTGGCTCCATCACCCTTCCTCTTGCTTCCTGGGATTTCCTTTTTATTCCTGGGATTGATTTACATGGAATTCCAGACTGGTTGGGTGAGGAGGAAAATTCCAGGAAATATTCCCTGGGGACAATCCTGTGTGGCTCCATCACCCCTCTTCTTGTCTTCCCAAAGCTGGAGTAGGCATTCCCAAAGATGAGAATGGGTATCCCAGCTTTGGGAATGGGTATCCCAGCTTTGGGAATGTGAATCCCAGCTTTGGGAATGGGTATCCCAGCTTTGGGAATGCCTATCCCAGCTTTGGGAATGGGTATCCCAGCTTTGGGAATGGGTATCCCAGCTTTGGGAATGGGTATCCCAGCTTTGGGAATGCCTATCCCAGCTTTGGGAATGGGTATCCCAGCTTTGGGAATGGGTATCCCAGTTTTGGGGATGTGAATCCCAGCTTTGGGAATGGGTATCCCAGCTTTGGGAATGGGTATCCCAGCTTTGGGAATGGGTATCCCAGCTTTGGGAATGGGTATCCCAGTTTTGGGGATGTGAATCCCAGTTTTGGGAATGGGTATCCCAGCTTTGGGAATGGGTATCCCAGTTTTGGGGATGCGAATCCCAGCTTTGGGAATGGGTATCCCAGTTTTGGGGATGTGAATCCCAGTTTTGGGAATGGGTATCCCAGCTTTGGGAATGCCTATCCCAGCATTGGGAATGTGAATCCCAGCTTTGGGAATGTGAATCCCAGCTTTGGGAATGCCTATCCCAACTTTGGGAATGGGTATCCCAGTTTTGGGAATGGGTATCCCAGCTTTGGGAATGCCTATCCCAGCTTTAGGAATGCCTATCCCAGCTTTAGGAATGCCTATCCCAGCACTGGGAATGCCTATCCCAGCACTGGGAATGCCTATCCCAGCACTGGGAATGCCTATCCCAGCACTGGGAATGTGAATCCCAGCTTTGGGAATGCCTATCCCAGCTTTGGGAATGCCTATCCCAGCACTGGGAATGTGAATCCCAGCTTTGGGAATGCCTATCCCAGCTTTGGGAATGTGAATCCCAGCTTTGGGAATGCCTATCCCATCTTTGGGAATGCCTATCCCAGCCTATCCTGGCCCTGGAATCCTGCACCGAGACCCTGCAGGGCCCAGCTGCAAAGCTCCGCTCAGAGCGAGGCACAGACAGGGCCTAATTCAGA